ATCTCTCTTACCATAGCTCAATTAGTTCTCATTTAAATACACATTCAAACCTCCAAATATCTATCAGTAACATACTCGTTGAAAGTACAAATATAATAGCATCATCCACTAGTATAACAAATGTAAAAATAATATGAGTATTACTAATAATAAATAAAAATTCAAATAAAAATCCAACACTCAATAATACGAAAGATGAACATGGTCACAATATGCTGACCGTGTTTAGAAAACAAAACATTCATAACTCTATATACATACATAAATCAATCCATATATTCAGTTATAATTAAAATATATCTCTTTCTTGATAATAGCTAAAAGTATAGCTAAATCTTCCATTCTACCACATAATGGGCTCAATTAGATTATGATACTGGTTAATGTGTAAGTGTGTATAACGCAAGAAAAGTGGTGCTTTGTTTCAGGAATCAATCTGCCATTATTTCTGATTTCTGAGACAGTGTGTTTTCCTTGCTTTAAAATGCAATCAGAATGATGGGACCATTGTTAGAGAGAGGGGTACGTGGCTAGGCACAATACTTGTTGAGTCGGAGATAATTACATGACTTTTATTTGAACCAAGACTTCCACTTTATTCCAAGCAGATTTTTACCATTACCACCAACAACCTTAACCGTTGATAGAAAGCAGGACAAATTCATTTCATTTTTTTCATGTCAAATTCTAGTTTGGTTTATTGGGTTTATTATGTTTTACGGCATATCAGCCTAAGTTGTTATTTTATGCCGACATAATTTTAGGATAGGTTCGTACGAATAGAATATGTATTGTTTGTAAGAAATCAGTTTGTAGATCAGGTTTATTTGACGATTTTTTATAAAGGGGGTATTTGTCGAGAGCCAGATGAATCGTTGGTGATATATATATATTTTTTCAAAAATGCGTTACTGGTATTTACACGAACATAAAACTCTATTTTTATACTTTCATTGTGTTATGACCCTAGTTTGGGGATAAACTATTTTCCCATAGCTGGAACCCTAGCAGATGCTACCACACCGGGTCAGGGTTGTTACGGTTTTTTGTGTATATTATATGTAACTAGTGAGCGAGTCAAAGTGACTTAATTCCCTTTATAGTCTACCAATAGAAGATTAACCAATCAGGAGCCGCAGAACACTGGATCCGTCGTGTATAAAGGCGGCCATCTTTGTTTTCCTACTGGATGACCAGAGGCAACTTTTCCGGCGAACATGACTGACGGAAGAACAACTCTCTGCTACTTTGCTGCGATATCCACTGCGAACCTGCACTACACTTTCCTACTGTCTCCGAAATATTCACTGCCAACCTCTGGATTCTATACTCGAGGAGGACCGCCATGAAAATGTCTAACAAGGGTGAACCAGGGAACATCAACAATTAAGAGGTAGTTCCACGTTTCTCAAAACTTCCCGATCAGAGGCCTTTCTACCGGATGTACAGGGCACGATGTGTCAATTGTCGACATTTTATATATTTAATTTCGCACGTGTGCGCTGTTTGTTTTTGATTTTGTCGATGGCACTGTATTGCAGGATCGGTTGAGCAACGTCTGTGAGAAAAAGAGCACCATCATGCAAATCCTTCCGCCAGAAATTTGGAATCGGCTTGCTGTACAGCTTAGCATTCACGCCGGAAGCTCCCATATATGTCAATCAGAGGACAGTGCAGAAGATTCAGAAACAGTTGGATAATAGGGATTATGTAGATATTTGAAGTGATCATTAATGATGGTCCCATTCATCGTCCCACAGGACCTCATACTCAATACGCAGTCCCATATCCAGTGCTTTGAATAGCTAGTGCTGCCCGGGGCCAAGAGGGTGGCTGCTGAAAGATCCTATATCTGACAATATGGCTCAACACAAAACCACACAAGCAGGAGAATCCAGTCATAGCTGTCAGACAATTTCTGCGACCATATCACCCCTTAGATCTGGCCACCTAAATCCCTAGACTGCAACCTCAATGATTATTATGTGTGGGACGCAGTTGAAGGAGAGATAAACAAAACTAATCTAAAAACTAGATGAACTGAAGGCAAGGATTACAAGGAGACCGTCCGAGGTCGTCTGGACGCCGTGATTGAAGCTAATGCCGATTTGATTGAATACATTTACTCTGTATGTTATTGTTTAATTTTGTTAAATATATCTGTTACAGGGAAATGCGAGTGTTATTTTCATTATTGCGTAATTTAGATGGCAATTTATGCCTCGCACTCCGTAGTTTATCGTAATCCCCAGCACGGCCAAATTCTGGTCCTGCCATATGAGGGTCGAAGTAAAATTTGAAACCCATCAGACAAATTCCTGTCTGAAGATCTGCGATTATTTACACTATAATCTCCTCGTATATGTTACCAGATTCCGCCGGGACAATTTTTGGAGATCGATTGAGGTAGACCTTCGACCTCACTTCCGCTGCATCGGAGAGTGAGCGAAAATCGGAATGGGTGATGGCATAAATAGGAAATGCATCCGGTGGAAGACATTGCGTGCTTGCGTTGGTGCATGACGGAAGAACGGTGGCCACACGAAGTTGTGTGGGAACATGGCCAGAAGCAGCGTGGTCACCAGAAGTTGCGTAGGCGACATACGGGAAGAAGGCATAGCCAGGTAAACTGGCGTGGGTATCTAAATGCAATAAAACCGGCCCAGCTTTTGGCCTCAGAGAGAGAGAGAGAGAGAGAGGGAGAGAGAGAGGCTAATTAGAGTTTCACCCAAGACTTGTCTCCGTCAATTCCTGTGTACGCAATCCTAACCTCTGTGTTTCTCCCTCTACCTAATCGCCCCAACTCAAACACTAATGATATATATATATATATAGGGCGAACACAGGAATTGACGGATACATATATATATATATATATGAGTATGTGTGTGTCGCCTTATATAACACAATGACCAGATAGATGAAACCGTTGGTTCGTGAATTTGAGTGACATAGTAGTTGAGAGTGCAATCCCTTGGTCGGGCTGTGTGTTCTTGGACTAGATTGGAAACGGGCGAGCAATAATTTAACAGTACTAAAAATTTTTAAAAAAATAGCTAGACGATATATCCCTAGACATAGGCAGGGGAACGAGAACCATCTACTCCTGTAGATTAAATAGATTTCAATTTCCAGTGAGTTATCCAGATCTATATACGTTGAGGAAGGCCGTAAGACGCAACGACCGAAAACGTTACGATAACAAGATAAGAAGTTGATCTGAATATAAATCGTGTAAATCATCGAACAAAGCAACATTTTCTCATTGTCTATTGTTCTAAAACTTCTAAAAAGCGAATTATGGCCTTAGGTTTTTGTCCTTATCTCGCTGGTGTGTCATCCGGCGAGATCCGCTGCTATGTCCTATCTGTTTCAGCTTTTGACGCGTTGTGTAGTCGGAAGAGGCCCTTCTGCAAAAGACCGTTCTAAACAGCAGTTATTTGAGCTGCTAATGTGATTTATCAGACTTAACTAATTAGGCTATTTTCCTCCGAACTCTTATAACTAGAAGGGATTAACGCACATATAACTGCCGCTCACTGGAATATATTTTTTAAATTTTTTCTGAGCATTCTTGATAAACTCTAGAAGTGGTTGTGCGTGAAAAACATTTTAGATTATCATACTGCATTCAAAGTCACTTAAATTAACTCATTTTCCCATAATGTAAAATGAAATTAAATTCATCAGGACTATGTCTAAATACCGATAACCATTAAAATACTGACATATTAGTAGCTGATTAGAAATAGATTCTCATCAGAGAGGAGGCGATCATTTGGAAGGTGATCCCAGTGTGTGGAATCGTGGCAAACTGTTTGAAAATGCTACCACAAGTTGACGATATCCAGTCAACCCCCCCACGAGTGTGTCATGTGGTACAAGGCCTTTTTAACGTGGGCATTCCGAGCCCGTGGGTTCGGCCAAAATATGCCCATTGAACCCGTATAAACGGGTTCAGGGCCGGTCTACCTCCCCGAAGGAGACTCCACCCTTGGGCGTAGCCTCCTTCGGGTTCCTCCCGTCCGTAGGAAGAGAGTTGAACCGAACAGTCGGTTCAGAGTTGAACGACTGACTCATACCACAAGTTGACCCAAACCGTTCGAGTGAAATTGGGGAGGTGAAACACTTTGAGAACTGTTGATGGTGGTGCTAAGCATGGTGACCGAAAGCTTTAGTTTACCTGCCTTGTTCAAAATGTTCGTAACAGTAGATTATGCGCTAAACTAAAATCTTCTAACAGCAAAATTGCAATATGAGCACTGGTAAAAATGGTTGCTGAAGACATTAGGTTTATAATACCCAGAAATTCATACCCAGATAAGGACACATGGCACAGTGGATAAAGGTGTTGGTTAGATCCAGTGACAGGACCCAAAGAGTGTGAGTTCGGTTAAGGCAGTGGAGAACTTTCAGTGGGAAATTAACAGGAGATAACTGATAACTGACATCCATTAAACATGGCACATGGAACTAGAACAGTCTACCCCAGTGAGCAAAATAAAGGGTTCAGTTCGACATTCCAAACACCTGAAGAAGGCCGGAGTGCACAACGACCGAAACGTTGTGATAAATATGGCGACAAAGATGAGGACAATAGTCCGAATAATGTAAATAATGTATATAATACCTCATCTCAGAAATATAGACAGACTCTAAAATCTTCTTGGCATAATTACAAAACAGACCTCAGTTTGTTTCTGTGTGTGTTGAACAACCCGAAATGTACCCGGGCAGGCATCTGCAACTGTGATTAGATAACTACCCCAGACAGTCACCGTGGGATACAGAAAGGCCAGCTAATACAGTAAGAAAGAATATCATAAATAATGAGATTATAAACGTAATTGAAATTAAAATATTCACACAATAAAAAAAAATATCTGAAACGAAATGAAGGGAAGAAAAGCCCAAAGAGAGAATATATGTGAGTAATTGCTGTAATAAAAATGAAACGAAATGACGTTTTAATTACACCAAGTGGTAAAATAAATGGGAACTAAACGCGAGAGTAGATAAAAAAATCGTAAAAGACAAAGAAGTTTTGATGGAAACGAGTGTCAAGTAAAAAGGAAAAAACACCATTAAAATAATATTAGAAAGAAAACTAAGAAACGGAATCACCACTGAAGAGAAATAATGAAAATAAAAATTGATTAACGGAAAAAAAGGGAATGAAAAATCATCCATTATAAAAGAAAAAGAAAGGATTTTTAAAGATAAAGTATAAAAGAAACAGAAACAGAAAGAAAAATGTTAATATCCCCAAAGATATCTGCCGAGATTTCTAAGATGAGGTACTTTAATTTCTTACATTATTTACAATGTTCGCACTGTTGTTCTCATCTTTATTGCCATATTCACGTTTCGACCTTTGTACGCTCTGGCCTTCTTCAGGTTATGGGAATTTCGAATTGAACCCTTTATTTCGTCCACTGGAGAAGTCTGTTCTAGTTCCACGTGCCATAACTCTTCGAGAAGACTATCTCCCTTGAGGACACATGGCCCTGTGGATAAAAGCGTTGGTTGGATTCAATGACTTGATCCAATGAGTTGTGAGTTCAAGACCTGGCTACTGCATTGGTGAACAAAACGTGGAGAGTTGATTTAAAGGGAGATAATCGAGACATCTGAATGTGACCTGGCATGTAGAAATAGAACAATCTACTGCGGTGGTCGAATAAAAGTTTCAGTTCGAAATTCGTGAATTTGGAAACAAAGATGAGGTTAACAGAATCAACAATGTAAATAATGTAAATAATCCTCAAAAATAATATGAAGAAAGGATTTGACTCTCAAGAATTTCATTTGCAATATAAAACAGGACCGTGTAAGAATTCCACGTTTGGTTCTCCTGTTGATTGCAATGTTTCATTATTTTACTGTTGAAATTCCTGTTTAATGACTGGATTTCCTGTTCTTTCTAATGTCTTTCTGTTATGGTCCGGTTCCTTGGACCACGGTGATGGTCCAAGATAGAACCAATAAAGAAGAACTCGAACACAGGTATGGAATAACACAGATATATTACAAACAGGAATATATACAGAGAAGTAGAAAGTGTTAGTATGAACAATCAGGTTTAGTAGAGAGAACAATATAGTCTCGACCAGTATCACTATTCCAATGTCTTGCAGTAATTGTCTGAACGCGACTCTGTTTCGGACTGCCTCTGACTCGACTTGAACTACTGACTCAACTTGAACTACTGACTGACTGACTATATTTAGTCACCCCCACCACCACCACGTGGGCATCATGTGGCACAAGGCCGGTTTAACATGGGATCTCCGAGCCCGTGGGCTCGGCCAAAAATATTGCCCATTGAAGCCGTATAAACGGGTTCAGGGTCGGTTTACCTCCCCGAAAGAGAATCCGCCCTTCGGCGTAGCCTCCTTCGCGTTCCACCCCGCCCGAAGGTAGAGAGTTCAACCGATCAGCCGGTCGTGAACTACTGACTGACTGCCTCCTTGGCGCAGTATTTATTAAGTATGGAATAGTCCATTATTATTACACTTTCACTCCCAGTAACCTCATGCGTCTTATTGACATTATCACCCTGGTCTGAACAGAGTGTAAAAAATGGCTAGATGTAACCATAGAAAACAGTTACTCATCTCACGCTTCTCGCCTCCGGAACTCTCTTCCGGCTTCGTGCATTCAAGTCAACTTTGAACATCAAAAATTTTAATTCAATATCAATGGTTATCTTTCGTCTTTTTAGTTTCAGTTCTTTTGCTGTTCTCGCTCCGTCATAATGTCTTCTTTTCCTCATCTTCTTTCACGCTCAGTCACCATTTGCATCTTAGTAGATTTATTGTTTTGTTGGGAGAGAAATGCTTAAAAAAAATGGATGAAATGTCAATCGTTATTTTCCGTTTTAATTTTTCTCCTTTTATTGTTCGCTTTCCTTAATAATGTTTTTTTTCTCATATTCTTTCACGCGCAGTAATCCTTTGCGTCTTTGTGGCTTTATTTAATTACTATCAAGTAATTTATACTCTTAATTTATCGTCTCTCAGTTGCGTCTCTCTCTTTGGACAGAGTGCGCTCAGGGGCTTCTCTGTCTAAGGACGGAGGGGCAACTGAGGAAAATTATACTGAAGAGGTGCCCAGCCCTGGGGAACAGTTGCCTGAGGCCGCGCCCTCTCATTGCACCAGAGAGAGGGATCGATGCTCGCACCTAGGCCAGCGCAACCGTCGGTTGCGGAGGCTGAAGGAAATTTTTGTCCCTGCCCGAGTGTACGCGCTCGGGTCCCCACATTAATCCGACCTTGTGTCACATCTCATTCTCGTGGGAGAATGAGTAAACACCGTCTTCGTGGCTTTATTACCTTGCTTGAAATGATTAAAAAAAAAAAAAAACTGCTGATGAGAGAGCTTCCGGTTCCTGTTTCTGAATCTTTTAGAATTGGAAACGGTAAGTTAAGAAAAAAAAAGTATTAGATAAGATCATGAAAGGCAAACAAAATAAGGTTGGGTAATCTGTGGAAATGGTAATATTAACGGAATAATATTTCTCCTGAATACTCTTAAGAAATTCATGAATCCAACACTTCTCCCTTCGGCTATATATTAACTGGCAGCGGAAGCAGGTCACAATAGCTTTTGGTGATAGCCCGTCTAAGAGAAGGACAGATCTGTATTCAAAAACGTGTAGAAATAAGAGGAAATGCATTGTCCAATATCTTTTGCAAGAAGATATCGCAATTCCCAGATGATAAATAAAAGGAATCTATTCTGAGTTATCATTATCTACATTTTGAATGGGATAAGGCATTTAAAAATAATCAAGTAAAATTTGCCAGTTGGAAAGTAAACGAAATTACAACCAAATACAGACGATCGCAAATGGCGTGAAACCCAGGTTCACAAACTCACATCAACGCAACTATATATATATATATAGTAGCGGATAAACCATATTTAAAATCAGTTAATTTATAATACATTTATATATATATATATATATATATATATATATATATATATATATATATATATATTAAATTAACTGATTTTAAATATGGTTTATCCGCTACACATAATAAACATGTTTCAAAAACTGAAGTTAAAATCTGTAAATTTAATTATATAATTAAATTAAAAGAATTAGTTCCATTTTATCTTCAAGCGAATATTGGAATTCCAATATTCGCTTGAAGATGGAATGGAACTAACTCTTTTAAATAAATAAAAAATAACGTCCAATGCTTGTATGAACACGAAAAATTACATATTGGTTTGGTGAATAATTATCAGGCGTTCTTGGAGGCGTGTTATTTGTTAATAAAAATTGCTGTTTTGTTTACATTTTTTTAATAAAAATCATATTTTATTTTCTGGTTATACAACTGCGTGTCAATAATCATACTCATTTAAAAATGTTATTGTTGAATCATTGTATTTCTTTTTTCATAAAACATATCGTTCAAAAACGCTTGATAATTATGCACCAACCCAATAATATTCAAAGTTTTCATAGAGGGAAAAGGGTGAAATAAATTCAATTACAAAAAGAAAAAAGGAAGGTAACGTTACTAACGGGGAAGACAGAGAGAGAGAGAGAGAAAGAGAAAGAGAGAGAGAGAGAAAAAAGAGATAGAAAATTATAAATACAGAATGGAATTCAACGAATACAGACCTGGTGCACTATGTGCCACAAGGCCCCCAAACAATCTCCGTAGTCATCCTCATACAAGGATGAGGGGCGGCGATATTCTTTCTCGCGTGGATGGAAATGGTTTTATCATCAATTCCAAAATGGACGAACAACCATTGTATACAATTTGAACAAAGACATCGAAAGAAATATCAGTACAGTTCCATCATCCTATGATTCCCTGTAAAACATTTGAAGAGTTTGGAAGTGCGGAAGCAGTTTCGTGAGCTGGCAATGGGCAAGGTAGTTAGGAAAGGACTGACAAGTGAAACTGACAATGTTGTTGAAGATTAGAAATCACATTGAATTACAGTGTACATATCAATTTGAAACAGCTGCGATGATGATGATGATGATGATGATGCCTACTGGAAGATGTCAGCTGGTGAGGATAATCGTATTTACGCTATTGAAGAAAAGGAAAACTAGGCAAAAAGAAAATGGCGGAAATAAACACTCAAAGCAAACGTATAAAAATTGTGGCGGAAGTAAGAGAAGAACGAATGAAAATAAAGATGATAAACACGAGAAGAATTGGAAAGGCAGAAGTTGGTGACAATGAAAAAGAGAGAATATTAAACAAAAGTCAGAAAAACCCTGGAGAACAAAAGAGGCTATGCGTGAAGGAACAAAAGATAAACTCATAAAACATGAATGGTTGAAAGAGTAAGATTTGGTTAAATGATAAATTAGACAGTAATTAGCAGAAATCTAACAGAAAGCCTACAGGAGAGTAAAAATTGTAATAAGTTTGCAATAAGGCCAGGGAAATGGGAGAAGAAAAAAACGTGAAAATTAAGCAAACTGAGGGAAGATTAAAAAAGAACATTTCAGTCCATCCCAGAGCACATTTTAAAACTCTCTCTGTCTATCTTTGTTCCTTCCTTCCTTCTTCCAATGTGTGTGTGTGTGTCTATGTGTGTAATGCATATAGACAGGGTGCAGTAGAAATACATCCGACATACACCTACCAGAAATACATCTCACGTAATAGCAATACATGAGTGCCAATAGAATGCCTCTATCAAGCTAATATCTAACGATTATATGAGACGTATTTTGGGGGAGGGATATATCCGAGGTATTTCTGCCTTATATATATATATATATATATATATATATATATATATATATATAATTAATTGTTAAAACAAAATTACAGCCTCTTTCGATTCACTTCCCTCTCCCCTCTCTCTTTGCCGTAACACTCATTTAGATATACCTGTATTACTGTCATCTGTCTCATCTCTCCTTTCCATTTCTCCTTTTCTTTTCCCCCACTACCCTTCATTCCTATATATCATTTCCGTTAAGTTAACCATTTAAATAGGTCACGGTTCTGTCACTCCTCCTGTAATATAAAGCATGCTTAAGAGAAATATACTCTTCCTTGTCTAGTTAACTACACCTATCAACCTCCCTGTTAAATTACAAAAATTACACTACCCATCAATTTCTAATCCCATTTTTCCTTTCATTTCGTTGTTGGAATGGTTACCTGATGATCCGGAGTCCGTTAAAAAGGATT